AATTATTTTATAAAACGGGGGACGGCTTGGGCGGGGGGTGGGGGGTTTACAGTCATATCTCCTTCTGATTATCATTTCTTTTGTCTGTTTGTGTTAAGAAAAGCACATCGACACAATAATGGTAATTTATTTCTGGAGTGAGGGATGGGAGGGGAGGATAAGACAGACAGACAGACAGACAGACAGACAGACAGACAGACAGACAGACAGACAGACAGACAGACAGACAGACAGACAGACAGACACAAAAGAGGGAAAATGAAGAAGTTACCTACCAGTGGCTCACTCCAACCACCCACTACTTATTTTAAAAAGGTAACGATCATAATACTATACGAATCTCTTGTTCATTCTACTTTTTGACCCATTTACAATTTATTTCTTATCTGCTTAATAACGTGATGGATTATTTCCTTCATTTATGTTTAATAATAGGAACTCCTAAAGGAACGGCATTTTTATCTTTATGATTCCCCCCCCCCTTTCCCTACGCCCACGCTGTCTCTGTCTGTCTCAGACACACGATATAATCTTCGATCAAATACTTAGCCCATGTTGCCGCCGCTCTGCACATAACAGCTTCCCAATTCAAACTCCAATTCTCAATATGTGTCACGACGCGGTGGAATCAGGCGCTCGACAGTTTGGGGTGGAAAATATTATTATGTCTTTATTGGTATTATCTTAAACTCTGTTCATTTGTCTTGCTTTTGCTTTCGGTGAAAAATAAAATACCCGTCAATCATGTAAAGAAGTCGTTGCGATTTAAGGGGAAATGTGTCGCCTGGCCGTAGAAGTTTGGTGAATTCCATAGCTTGAGAGTCCTTAGAAACTGAAAATGTACTTTGCTATGCCTCTAACAAACGTTTGTTTGTGTTTGTTTGTTTCAATAAAACGCACACAAAATTGTGTTTTTAGCCGGATGAAAAGGTGTTGGGCCACCCCCCCCCCCCAATAACCCCCCCCCCCCAACAAAAACAACACTTATTTGACAAAAACTGCCAATCTGGTGGAAAAATGCAGGTTTCTTCTTCCATTTCAGTGTTTTGACAAGCGACTGATTTCACCACGATGTCTCACAATATCTTTAATAAATAAGAGAAATTATCATTCCGGAGCCCCGTTGTTTGCCCTGTTGCTATCCTGTTGCTGTTTTCTGATTCAACAACCAAGGACCGACGTGACGTTCGCGGACAGACGTGACTTCCGGGTAACCATTTTGGAAAATTGTCTACGCCATCGATGAACGATGAATCGATGTGTCCAATGTTGACTGGGTGAGGTGGGTCAAGTTTTAACACGTCCCTGTTAGATACACGCTGTGTTGGCGAACCATGACAAGAGCTTCCACTTTTAAAAATAAATCTGTAATTAATCTAAGCTGCTTTTCAGAGGTAGAAGCAATCAGCGCGCTCATATGACCGTAGCAGTTGCGAGCGCCGTAAAACTCCATACTACTACTACTACTACTACTACTACTAGAAGCAATCAGATGAAATAGTCGCAAGCTACTCGTTTTTTTTGTTGTTTTTTTTTAATTTTTATTTTGGTTATTTGTTCTTGTATTCGTTCGTCTGGGTTTAAAAGAATAGTTCTGTGCTTTTGCTTGAGTTTGACCAAAGAGAAATACATCGACACAATAACGGCCATTTAGTACAGGGAAAAGGGAGACAGTGATACAGATAGACATAAATAATACTGGGAATGTCAAGAAGTAGGAAATACCAGCGGTAGGTTAGGTACCCACTTACCACCCGCTATAGTGTTACATTCTATGTCCTGAGACAAGAAACAAAATCACAGCCGACACTGCCCAAGATGGCTAACCAATAATGGGGAGACAACAGGTTGTCTAGACAGGTGGACGTCTCGAGCAGTGTCTTTGTGATGTAAAAAAACAAATAAAATTAAGGGAGGGGGGGGCGGTGGAAAGTGGTCGTTTGTACAGGTGATTTTCTTAGGCAAGTGGTCTTAAACATGTTAAAGCGTCTCCCCTTTCCCGATCCAGCGCATACGCATATTATGGTTACTGGCCAAAAGGAAATTTTCGTTAAAATCTTTCTGAGAAAGTATCAGTGACAGCTATGTAAGAACAGAGAATGTGTCATTGGAAGTATTTAAAACAGATGGAAAGTGGTCCTGTAATACACATATATAATATCATAGAATATTTTAGCAATCGTACTTTATACATCATACAATCTGAAGAAAAAATTACACACAAAATCTCTCTCTCTCTCTCTCTTTAATTTTCCATCTCTCTCTCTCTCTCTCTCTCTCTTTCTCTCTCTCTCTCTCTCTCTCTCTCTCTCTCTCTCTCTCTCACACACACATACACCCACCCACCTACACACACATACACAAACACACACACACAGATACAAAATTGAGGGAGGGCGGTGCGAGAGAGAGAGAAAGAGAGAGAGAGAGAGAGAGAGAGAGAGAGAGAGAGAGAAGAAATGAAGAAAAGAGAAAGAGAGAATGAGACAGTCAAACCAGCCAGACGAACAGCCAAACAGCCAAACAGCCAAACAGACAGACAAGTAGACCCAGAAAACACACCACCCTCACGACATGCTCACAAGAGAGCACATCAATCTCTCCCCAGCTCACGCACGCCGTGTCATTCTTTGAGGATCCAGTCAATTACACAAACAACTGGTCACAATAACTTCCACATTGTCAGGGTCTCCCAACTGAGGTACTTCTGATGGGATCCTGCTCAGTACCTTGTCTGAGTGCGGACTGTCTATTTGTGAGGCAGCGTGGTGGAATCAGGCTCTCGTCAAAATTATCAAAGTGAAGAAACTTGATTTTTCCACTGGCTTGTGAATTTTTATCAAATTTTTGTTTTTTGGCTCAACACCTTTTATGCCCGTTAAAGAACTAATTTCTGTGTGGATTTTTCTGAAAAATGTTGAGTAAAAGCACAGAAAATGTAAATTTTCTGTTACCACCGACTCCTAAGCTAAAGAAATAACTTATCTTTGGCGGCCATTTTCTCACTCATTTTACCTCTGAAAACAGGAAACCCCCATCTCCTTCATTGACAAATATCTCGACTTGTATTCAAGATAAATGGATATTTTTTTCATCCAAACAAAGACAAGTGAACAAGCTATAAGATGATACCAATAACGCTACATGCCCAAAATTTGACGAGAGCCTGATCCACCACGCTGCCTCACATTTGCCTTTAATAAAGTAACACTGAGTTGGAGGGCCAGTGCAGAAGACTTTGGGATTTTTAAGATGTTCTTTTTCTTTTCTTTTTTATCTTGTACAATCACCCATCCCAACCATTGTCTCTGTCTCTGTCTCTGTCTCTTTCTCTCTCTCTCTTTCTGTCTCTCTTTCTGTGTGTCTCTCTCTCCCTCTCTCTCTTTCTTTCTCTGTTCTTTTCGTTCTCTCTGTCCTTCTCGCTCTCTGTCTATTTATCTATCTATCTATCTATCT